AAATACTACTAATTCGGTACGTGTCATTTTAATTTCGATAGTTTTTAATTTATTTATTTATTTAGTTCAAAAAATTTTGTTTTTATTTTTTTGTACCGAAATATTATTTCTTTGTAGTACTTATTGATAGATCAATTTCAGCATATTTTAATGTAAAATATTAGTGCCATAGGCTATAAAACCAGTATGTAAGATATGACTTTATCGCCTTTCTATCTGAGGCCATGTAATCTTACTGGAGTTACACATATTTGCTTCTTACGGCATTCACTTGACTAGATGAAATGATAGTTTTTATTTACTTATTTAATTTTAATTGAGCCTACACAGTAGTTATATGATCTGAAAGCATACTTAATGCTAAAAACATTTTCTGCCAGTCAATCTTACGAGTGATAACACTACGAAGGCGGTTACAGATAACATATATATATATATATATATATATATATATATATATATATATATATATATATATATTAAAACATACTTGTATACATATAAACATACACAAATATATAAGATACATTATTATATTATACGTATTATACATTAGTACATGGTAGAGCCATGCTGCTGCTATATTATGGTTATAGCACGAATGGGTCGGCTCGACCGGGAAATGATCGCGTTCTCACAGAATACCAGCCTCAAATAGCAGCTTAACGATGCTGTGTTTCGTATGGTGAGTGTTTAAAACCAGAGACGCTTTTCACCGGAAACCAGGCATTCCATCTTAGTCCTTACGGGTGACAATGGATTTATATTTTCTTCTCGATTCTTAGTTGAGGATTGATGTGGATGTATATGAGCCACAGCACCATCAGGATTTTGTGCTCGTTTATCACCCTCATGCTATAAAAAAGAAACATAATATGCTGATTAAATTCAAATAGAGGTAAGCAACAGTAATGATAACGGAGATTTGCAGTTTTGAACCACCTTTAGAAAATTAGCCTGAACATTCGTCTTAAATGTTTGTTTGCTAGTAGATTCTCTTGAATTTCCACACAGGTCATTCCATAGGCGTGCACAGAGTAACAGTTTTCTTGCATCTTTTGGTGTTTCCTGTTCTCAATCTGAGTATTTTATATCGCGCGTAAACAATTATGACTTTATCGCCATCTATTTGAGGGCATTTAATCTTACTAGAGTTACACAAATCCGCCTCGTACGACATTCACTTGCCTAAATGAAATGATAGTATTCCTCACACCGCTACAAAACAATGTTTTATACATTGATTTATTTCACTGTAAAAGCCTATTAAAGTCAACTGCTGAACACAGGCCTCCCCCATATCTTGCATCATAGGACAGCTATTTACCATAGTTGCCACGCTTGACAAGCGGGTAAACAGCCGTAGTTTTTTTTAAATTTCTGTCGTTATTTTTAAAACGTTGCTGCTCATCTCCTGAATTGTTTCCCTCTATCCTGACAATAACATTGTTTTGGCTATGCTACAAAACAAACTAATATTTTCGATACTAATATAACAAGCTTATAATTTTCGATGCTATTATACTTGTAGTATACTTTTGTTGATGAATATTGTTAGTTGTTAAACTTCAAAAGTTGCTGGAAGCTATGTTAAACAATAATAATTTATCAGTCGGTTGAGATTTCGCTCGAAAAATTGTGTTTGTTATATTTTTTTATTATTATATATTATTATTTATGCATATTATTTTTTATTTGCAGCCAGCATATTCTTCAGTACATTCTTTATTTAAAAAGAAAAATAAAAGTGGTGGATGCGAAATTTTTGATTGATGATTGATGATGTTGGCAAAATTCACATTTTTTTTAAAGAAGTGTTGTGAACAAACTTACAATTCAGCTGATGGTAAGTGGTTCTGAAACAATGAAGGGTCGACATTTCGGAGAAGCTTGTTATTATACTGGCTGTCTATACCCTTCAGATTAGAACACGTCAATGCAAGCACTCTATTTGGCGGAAATAGGTAAGATGGAATATATCCTCAAAATATTTCATTTCTCATACATTTAGATCTCCTCACGATGTTTTACTTCAACTACGATCACTCGGTAAATCAGCACTTTAAAAAGAAATTCGCAAATCTTGATTCACTAGCGGGGTTTGCACTGGGGTTGCATGAGCATTTAGGCCCTAAGCTACCACGGTTACGTATAATAATGATTACTTTAATATTTAAGTACTTGTTCAAATTACTCTGTTTCTTTCTTAAGTAATTGTTAGCACATGTAACTTTTTTAGCTCAACCAAGACTTACTGGGAGAGAATTCCGGATGTAGGTCCGCCCATTGTACCCTCTGTTTAAAGTGGTTTTTAATGAAGTATATATAGATAAAAATAAATAATGCCCTTTTAAATAAAATTAGTTTTTACGGATTCTATCGCGTATTTTTTCGCGTATTTACGAAACTTATTTTATAATATAGACGTTGCGACTCTATTCGACTCTGATGTAGTGACGAGGGTCGCCTCTGTCATTAATAAACCACAAATCATCGTTAAAGAACACCGATTCCTCCCAAGGGTGATTCGCGAGGCTATTGAAACTAAAAAACATCCTATTCGAGAAGATGACTGGGTGCTAACATCTGCTTGGAATTCTATAATTAGTAAAATTAAATCCCAACCCAAGCATACAACTGCAAGACTACAAGATACTATAAGTTCATACTGCGTAGATCGGAATAAAAATTAATAATATTATTCTGGAGGTAACAGTGACATTAGGACGACGAACATCTCAGTCCCTCCGTAACCATGGGTACTGTAAAGTACCCGAAACGTCGAGAATATAAAATAAGTTAATATATGCGATAAAATCCGTAAAAACTAGTTTCATTTAAATGTGTAGTGTTCGCGTAAATATAAATAATTAAATAATAATCATTAATAAAGAAATAATTAAATAATGTCCCCTTAAAAAGATTTTTTGTTAAGACAGCCATTCTTAACAGATAATTACCATCTGCACAAGATTATAGTGAACGAGTGTGTGGGCAAGCGTGAGTGCAACCGTAGCACTGTTTCCTTACTCCCATAGTCCGACAGGAAAGCAATCCGACACAACCTTAGATCAGGCGCAGGACTAACGGCTTTGCCGGCTTTCCGAGACACGAAGGTATACCGTCACCGTAAGCAACCTACTTCTTGATTCCGATCTACTGCTACTGAGAATTGTTTTACAAAATCACCCATTGTTGTAACTCGAACCCAGGACCATATGTTTAGCAGTTAAATAAAGGATTTTAAATAAAAATATTAATTGAAGGGAAGATAGTAAAATTTGCGAAATTCCATTAAATAGAAACAAATAAATTTTTTATAGGACTATGTTCTGAAGAAGCATGCACCTGGATTTACAAATAAGGCTCGCTCATACAAAGTAATATCTATAATATGTTAAGGGGTCAAAAACAACGTGCACTCGCATATTCCCTTTTTAATCAATTATAATAAATACTGGTATCACAACTTAGTGTTTATTGTGTTTGTGTGTGTACACAGCACGGGCTAAATTTTACCTGTATGCTAATACTTGGTGGTCAACGAACGCAAACTCTGTTTGTCCCGATTGTGTAGTTCTATAGAGCTGACACAACGCCAGTTTAAGTACGATTTCCTTAAACACATTAATCTCACTTTAAACACTAGAAAAACCTTGTAATACCATTTACTAGACTCCACAGAATTAGTTACTCACTAATTTATGAGGAATTTTGATATACAATTATAAAACAAAATTCTAAAAAATGTTCCAAATTTCTCAATAAATAAGTTTAATTTTTTTTCTTCTTGTATATATATACTTCTAATTCTTGTATATAATATATATATATATATATATATATATATATATATATATATATATATTCCGATTATATATATATAATCGGAATCTCGGAAACGGCTCCAACGATTTTCATAAAATTTATTGTCCAGGGACTTTCTGGGGCAATAAATCGATCAAGCTAGGATTTATTTTTCGTGTTGTTTTTGACATTAAAATAATGATCGTAATAGCTCAAATGGATATCGAGCGGCGGCGAAATCTTAATGCTTTGGTTCGCGTCCCGTCTTCGGACTGATTTTTTTCCTTTTTTTTAAAGTTACCTTCTTTTGTGAGAAAATCTATTATTTTGAGCCCTTTTTTTTAGTATTTTTTAAAAATACGAAAATTTTAACTAAACTAATTGCACTCATTTGATTTTTTATTCAAATAACCAGTTCAGTTTTTTCTATTATGTTAATAAAATCAAAAAATATTATTCATCAGTATGTAATTTGTATCTAAATGTAATTTCAAAATAAAAACCGAGAAAAGCGCAGTCATCCGGGTACTATTAAGAATACATGAATGAAAATAACCTTTGGGAATGAGGTGAGCGCCACCATACTGGTTTTTTGGAAAATCATTTAAAAAGATGTACAATATTATTGAAAAGTGATATATGTTTAAAAAAATTGCATTGACTTGATTATACAGAAAAAAGGCAAGAAAGGTAAAAAAAAATTATGTATGAAAGAATGCTGCCTTATTCTAATGTTAGTTTTAATCAGTGACCTCTCTTCTGTAGGGCAATTTTAAGTGCTGTTTTAATAACGTACTTAGTACAAGCTGTAACTTAAACTATTTTTTGTATGGTGTGCAATAAAAAAAATTTAAAAAATAAAGCAAATGTCCTCAAATTATAAAATTTAACGATCATATTCCTGTATCAGACAAATAAATAAAACAATATTACACTGTGTTTATTAAAATAATATTAGAATATATAATAATACAGATTAAAGTACTGGAAAAATAAAACCGTACAATAAAACAACTATCTAACTCAAAGTGGAACCGGTTTGCGTGTGCGTGATCTGCTCTCTATGCATCCTCAGTACCAAGGAGGGGTCACTATCCTACAGGGATGCTGCGCAAAGGCAGTACGGCGACGTAATCGCTGGCGGATACTCGTATAGGTCGTGTTGCGGATTTTGCGGATCCGCGATCTTAAAGGAACGACGGGGTAAGTAATTCAAAGCAAGTTTTTTTCTATTGATATTTTTTTGTAATTCAATCGTTTCTTACATCTAGCAATGAAATAACAATGTAGTTAAGAATTTTCGAGATTTTTAAGTTTAATACTGAAGTGTTACTCATTACAATTTTGCTCAATAAGTTGTTAAGTAAAAAAAAAACAAATAACAATATTTCATTTCAATTCGTAAATTATTAATATTATCAAAAGATAAGCAATTAGCCAATAATTTACTTAAAAAAGGATGGAAAAAGGACTTGATTTAATATAATTATGTCATCCCTATAACTTCTAAATCATAGAAGTAAGTTTGTTTGTCCAAGATTGTTAAAAAGTTATAAATTATTTCTATTTATAATTTAAGTAATAATTTATTGTTTGTCAAATTAAATAAGAGATTTACTTTAATATTATATTAGTTATGGCATAAATAATTACTTCGTAAAAATACCAGTATTTAAACATTTAATATATTTGTTTCAAATGGAAATACATTAAAAATTATAATATAAAATGTGTTTATTTAACAGTTCCCAGTACAATGTTCTTTTAAAAAAGAAAATTTAAATCTTATTAGTATTGAGGATGCTTTTTTAATTTCAGTGTGTTAAAGGAAAAACAAACTGTTCTAATATAATGCCGTTAGTCATTTGTTGTTCGACGTGTTTGCCTTTTAAAGTCGTTTTACTATATCAACACGTTCTCATAATATATAAATAAATAAAAAAGTGTTTGTTATTTTTGGACGATTCCTGTTTAAATATTTATTCGTTATATATTTCCCATTAGCGAATTTTTAATCATTACAAGTTGGATTATTAAATGCTAACATTTAAAAAAAACCTTACGCCAAGGGGAAAAGGGGGTATATATAATTTAAAGTTGAATATTAATTATGTATACAAAAAATGAACCAGCTTTTAATGTCTTATAATGAATAATCAAGGTTATAAAAAAATATTTTCAAGTACCACAAAGCATTAAATCACAATAAGGGCAAATGAGATAAAAAAATAACTGCGTCACCGGTGCAAATCTTTATATTGTTAGTCTCTTTTAAATGCGGAGATTTTTCCGTGAACATTGCGGTATCCAGTTGTGCAATATCTGTACCTAGGACTGCCTCTTACATATTATAAATAAATATTACTTTGGGCTACGTACTTTATAACCTATGGAAGCAAAGAAATACCAAAGAAGTACTTCTTTTTACTTATTTGTATTTCCTTTAGATTACTTTTTTATTAGATCATTATTTTTGCACTTATTACATATTATGAAATAAGACGAATAAAAATGGCGTTCCCAAATTCAATAATAGAATTATGACTTTAACACAAATGGATGGTCTCGATCGAGGAAGGACCACGCTCTACAAAATAGCAATTTGAAAAAGCACTTTAATGTTGTTTAGTTTTTTATGGTATAAAATGACGACACCCTGAGAGACTTTTTAATAGTAAAGTGAAATACTCACTAATCATACTTAGAGGTGACGAGTAACACCACACCTATGGGCAGCTTCTTAACTTCTTCTTCTTCTTCGCACGCTATAGGTGATGAACAATTATTTTAAGTACTATATTTTAACTCATAATAGAGTTTAATTTGTAATTTTGTATGTGTATAATACTTCTAATTCATTGTCTTAGATACAAAATGTACTTGACGTAAGTGGGTTGATACCTTAATAAATAAACTCATTATTATTAATACCATTAAGAGAACTGTATTTTCCCTATTTGTGTGTAAAAAGTCTGTTTATTCTCTTTACATATTGTACAGAGAATAAACAGACTTAGACATTACATACATTATTATACATAGGTTACTTATTATTACATTAAGGCTAGGCTAGCCATTTTAGCTAAACATTTTAAAAGCGACCTGGCAAGTCATAATTAAAGAAAAAACAAACGCGAATGCATTATTAACTTGAGACACGAAGCTTAAGTCATCGCTATAATTAGAGGTAGATAACGACAAAATAAAAATTTGCAGCATCCGTTGCTGGGATGACATCGGAATCGAAACAAAAGTGGCAGGTTTGTTGACCTAATACAAAACCGATGTAACCAGTGAATTATTGCAGCGAAACGCGTTTACGATAGTATAAGGAGTTAGGAGACTTTTAAGGATTATCAAGACTTCTCAAAGGATGTGGTAGCATTAAATCATTTTTTACTTGGTAGAGCCATGCTGAAACTATGGTCTGCTCGACCGGAAAAGAAATCCGCTTTCACAGAACGCCAGCGTAAAATAACAAGTCAATGCTGTTGTGTTTCGTACGGTGAATGTAGAGAACTGGAGACACTTTTACTGGAAACGAGGCATTTCATCTTAGTCCTCAGGGGGGACTACGGATCTACGTTTTGATTCTTAATCGAGGATAGATGTAGATGTCTTTGGATCACAGTACACATTTATCATTAGGTGAATTGTACGGCCGTTAGTCACCCTTATTCTATAAAAAACATTATACTTCTTCATCGGCCCACAAAATTCCACCGATGGTCATAAGCCTCCATAGTCAGGCGACAGGCGCATTTTCCATCGCAATACCAGACATAACTCAACTTTGACACTGCAACAGGTGCGACAGAGACCGCTCCATACTTCGTTTAGTGGTAGCTTAGAGTCTCTCAATGGAGAACCTTTGTCCATATTGCTTATCGATCAAAGTAATGTCATAACAGATAACTTGTTGATAGCAATTATCACAACTTCTCCCAAATATGGCAAAGGTAGATTCAACATTCATAATGTGACATTTTAAATTCTATTACTAGGACATTATAATATTGACATCAATTAATCTAGCTTTTAATAATCATAAATGCACGAAATTGAATTTCCACTTGTTGTTAAAAAAATTTTTTTTTGCATGTATACCCATAAAATATTGGCACACCATATAAAATGGTAGAAGGTAAATGGACCATTAGACATAATTTAAGATCATACTTTATTGTACACATACATTCTAGCAAATAAATGAATTTGAATTTGAACAGTTAAGCTATTATAGGCTACCGTTAGCGGTACAGCATATTAAAAGTCCACTGCTGAACGTAGGCCTCCCAACTAGATTACCTTGAAGGAGGATATTTATCATAGTTGCCACGTTTGGCAAGCGGATTGGCAACAGCAGTTTTTTTAGTTATTATTAGATAGACACTGTCGCCCTCACGTTGCTTCTTACGACAGGACAGTATGAGGACGTGGATATTCTTACACCACCTCTATTGGATATATTCAAAATATTCACGGTATAACCTCAATACAACTTATATTTAGCAGGATAAAAAAATCTAAAAGAAACTTGAATACAACATTTATATCATTGAGTTATAGAAGACTAGAGGAGCAAACCACATTGCCGCGCGTCGAACAAAGTGTAACCACTATCCAAATGCGACGACGTAGCTTTGAAATCATTAAAATTTTTAAGTAAACATATATCTGTCTCACTTACACAAGTCGCGGAAAACAATATCGTCCCTAAGATTAGATAAAGATAGACACACAAACATGCAGTGGCGGGTTGGTGTTGCATACTTTATGAAATTTTACCCAAAATGAGCAATATAAAGGAGTTTTTTTTTTAAAGTTGCAGTAAATTGTTTTTATTTTAAATTTGTATATTTTCTTATTAGATGAACAGAAGTAAGCATAAGTAATGAAATAAAATATGTTTTTATATATTATTTTTATTGTACTAATAAATCAAACAAAAAATAAAGCAAATAAAAAAAACAATTTTAGGTTTCTTAAGCGAGATCTGTGTTGAATATGCATAAGTTGTGAAATCATCACCAAGTTTTTGTCTCTTAAATTTATGACATTAGCTACAAAAACTTTGGTTATCAATAAATTTCGTTGATTTTCTTGTTTATAGAATTTCTAAACTACTTAACAACTTTAAAAAGTTTTTATATTTTTTTTTGCAACAATACTGAGGATAGTTAATGGATTCAGGCGTGACTCTGCGGAAGTCTATTTGTAAGATAATATAAAAAGTTTTAATCTGTAATACTAATCCGCTTAAATATTCATAGTAGTCCATGCTCTCAAACTCCGCTATGAAGCATCAGTTTGTTATATAATTGCCTTTTGGATTCTTTTTTTGTGTGTTTGAGTGTATAATTTACTTTCGTGGTACAATCTTATTTTTAAGTACTTATAAATAATGGCATTAATCAATAAAAGGGAATGATCAACTTGTATTGCATTGCGTGCTGCATCTTTAGGTACACTGCAAATTTATTAATATAATATAAAATAATAAAATATAATTAATAGACCATTCATGAATAAACTAAAATAAGAATAATTATTTTGTATAAATGTTGAAACATAGTTTTTATTTTTAAGCAATCAATTTTACTTGTTTATTTTAAAACAAAATTAACTTATTCCATAAATTATACAGTCTCCCATTAATGTGGAAAAATCACAAAGGCGGAAAAGTGGCAACATTGAACCTAAATTGCAATATTCAATATTTTATTTAATTTTTTAGTGTTTTAAACGTTAATATGAATATATAAATTAAAACTTACGTATGGAAAGTGATTCCGCTTGATTTATTATGTTTTTGTGACCTTGAAACGCATTCTTTCACTACGCATTTACCCATTTTTTGTTGTGAATCGTTCGGCTTAACTCGGACGGCGTCACCTTGAACACTGAACCGACGTTCGCTGAGTATAAGGCTGTGGCCTTATGTGAAGTGACAACGCTTTGGCGCGGAAATTACTTATCTAGTGTAACATATAAATCAATGATTTATATAGTCACTGCGTGTCCGGGAAAAAGTTTCTTCGTATTTTGTTCGTATAAAATTGAAGAAAAATCTCATAGGTTCTACTGTTTGTATCTGGCTGGTTGTAATATCAATACATAATATAGGTGGTAAATTAAGAAAGAGAAAATTAAAAACTAAAAAAAATCACATTCCCGCCATTTTTCAATTTTTTTCTGTCCGC